ACCTCTATGATATTACCATAGAGGTAACTCTAAGACAAGTACACACTAATCCAGGCCTCAGTCGTTCGGTAAATTTTAAACTACAGAACTTTTCGGTAAAAGTTAAAAAATCAATGAAAAATCCATTTTTTAATAAATTTAATCTGAGCTTGTACAGAATTTGTTCAGTTTGCCCCATTTATTCATGAAAAATAAAATTTATTCATTTTCTTGATTTCTCATGTGCAACGGTCATTTGAAAATTTTACCGAAAAGTTCTGCTGTTCAAAAACCCGGTAAAATCCTACCGACTTCGGTGATCTGATTTAAGTGTGTAGGTCCCGAAGAAACGTGCTCAACTTTTTGGCTCACCTCTGGTACTATCTTCGGTCCCAAGCTTGTCGAATCACCCCTCGAAACATAGGTAAAACCAATAACCCCTCATTTTATCTGTCAAACTTTCATAGCGAATCAAAACAAACATTGCGTAGTACTAGAATTTCAACTAGAATAGGGTACGTTAATCGTTTGCTTGGGACCAATAGGCTACTAAAGTAGTGAGCCAATTTAAAATCGTTAGTTTCGTATTGATTGTTGATATTACCAACAATCAATATGAAACTAACGATTTAAAATTGGCTCACTACTTGACTAGCATATTGGTCCCAAGCAAACGATTAACGTACCCCATTCTAGTCGAAATTCTAGTACTACACAATGTTTGTTTTGATTCGCTATGAAAGTTAGACAGATAAAATGAGGGGTTAGTGGATTTTCCTATGTTTCGAGGGGTGAATAGATTAGCTTAGGACCGAATAGAGTACCAGAGCAGAGCCAAAAATTTGAGCACGTTATTTCGGGACCTACTAGTCTTAGAGTTACCTCTATGATATTACCATAGAGGTAACTCTAAGACTAGTAGGTCCCGAAGAAAAGTGCTCAAATTTTTGGCTCAGCTCTGGTACTATCTTCGGTCCCAAGCTAATCGATGCACCCCTCGAAACATAGAAAAATCCACGAACCCTAGCACGAACCCCTCATTTTATCTGTCAAACTTTTATACATAATCAAAACAAACATAGTGTAGTACTAGAATTTCAACTAGATTGGGGTACGTTAATCGATTTGCTTGAGACCAATAGGCTAGTCAAGTAGTGAGCCAATTTCAAATCGATAGTTTCGTATTGATTGTTGATATTACTTAACGAATCTGCTAAAATAAATACTTTTCTAATTTTTATCGCTGTTTTCATGAACTAATCGTTTTCCCCAAACCCAGTCATCATAAACGAATACCACTTGGTTGCACATCATTCTGCTTGAACCTGAAAAGATATAAAACAGCGCTGCTTTCCTGACTCTGCTCATTACCGCTTCGGACGGCGTGGTACTTAGGTCCTGCAGCAAGCAGGATCAAGTCAGCGGCTAAAGGTGGATCACGGCGTGACCATGACCACCACAATGAGGAACGAGACTTGGAAAATTATGTATGTAAAATCCCTTCCCCCCTTAACAACAACCCGAAAAATACATGGACTTTGACGATCACTTTTTTCCGGGAAATAAATTTTAAGCAAACCACAATTAGGGGCTGTCCATTAACTACGTAGACAGTTTTTTGGGATACTTGACCCCCTCCCCCTTCGTAGACAATTGTTCATACATTTTTTTTAATTTGTATGGGCTGTGGATAATTTCCAATCCCCCCCTCCCCTCCGAGACTCTGTCTGCGTAGTTTATGAACAGGGTTACTTCCACTCACTTGCTATAAAAAATGTTTTTCGGAATTATGAAATCATGAAATAGTATAATGCAAATTAGTTCTTGTAAGTTACAAGAATAGGTCATGAATTATATGTTTGACACATAAAGTCTGTCAATATTGCTTTCAATGCGTCACAATCAGCGATTTTACGACTCGTGAGCGCTCACTCTGAGTGAATGCTCACGAATCATCCCAAGTAACATTGCAGGTTTTATGTCGGTTTTATAGCATTCTACAAGTCTAAATCATGGTCTACATAACCCTCATAAAACCAAAATGGTTACTTGGGATAAGATCACTGATTGTGACGCTCTGAAAGCGGAATTGATAGGTTTTATGAGTCAAACACATACTTTACACCCTCTTCTTGTTACTTACAAGTATTTACTACATATCATTATAACATCTAATGATTGCATAGTTCCGAAAATTATTTTTTTATAGCAAGTGAGTGGAAGCAACCCTGTTTATGAACAGCCCCTTATAAGTAAAAACTATTTTTTACACGCAGAGCCAAAATGTTAAAAAAAAATTGCTTAAGAGTTAACATATATTCGATGAATTACCAACAACTAACTGTAAAACATATCTGGTACCTCTATATATGCAATTAGATTAACATCCTAAGTCCATCCTTTTTTACATATTCTGCACGAAAGAAACTTTCTGCCCCGCCCCATTCATAATAATAAGTATAATAGTCAAAAATGCATGACAAACATCAATTTTGCGAGGTTCTACGTCATACCAACAATCAATACGAAACTGACGATTTTAAATTGGCTCACTTCTTGACTAGCCTATTGGTCCCAAGCAAATCGACTAACGTATCCCATTCTAGTATAAGTTCCAGTACTACACTATGTTTGTTTTGATTCGCTATGAAAGTTTGACAGATAAAATGAGGGGTTAGTGGATTTTCCTATGTTTCGAGGGGTGAATCAATTAGCTTGAGACCGAAGATTGTACCAGAGCTGAGCCAAAAAGTTGAGCTCGTTTCTTCGGGACCTTCTGGTCTCAGAGTTACCTCTATGTTTAAACTTCGTATTTGCATGTTGTAATGAACTTATATTTACTGTTTAAGATAATACCGGTAATACATCTGGCTACGCTTATTCAATGATTCATTTACGTTCGCTAGCAAAGAAGTGGAGTCAAAGTGATTTTCTTGGTGTTTTATTTTGTTCATCAAGAGATTTGACCTCCAGTTTAAATTAGTTTTTTGTATTTGATTACTTGCTTTAAATTTTCGGATGGCTTCCCTAATAAAAAAAAACCATAAAAGAGAGGTTCGTTTATAGTATTTGTTTATTAGGGTTGTGTGTGAATGTATGTGTATACTAATGATAATGATTGAAGAATATTTCAAAAACAAGAAGAATCCATATTGATTGACTGTGTCTTGAGCCTTAAAAACGCAATAAAATTTTACCGACTTCGGTACTCTGAACTCTGTTTGTAAATATTAAGAAAGAGATTTATAATACAACGCACTCAATTGGCGTCTTGCAGTGAAACTTTTCCATGCTTTCGCCACCTACATTTCGAGGTAAGAACTACTAGAAGGAGAATAGTTTCCAAATTTTCCAAGTAAAACAGATGTTTTTGGGGCAAATCGGTCCATAAAGAAAAACTAATAATTTCCCGTGGAAACTTTTGCTTGAATCGTGTAAGAAAACGTGTTTGAAAACTATTTGTTATTATTTCGGTATGGATCGGAGATGTTTTCATGGCAAATTATCCATAACAAGTTTGCACCCACAGGGAGAGGTTACCTCCAGCGCAGCTGCATTTTTCGGAAAAAGATTACTATGCGCGATTTCCACTAAGATGAAAGTGGAAATTAAGTGAATTTACTTAGGAAAGGTTGTATCATGCTGGTGATAATAGAGAATTGATTGTATAGGACGCCAATATTCAATAAATGTTCATTTTGTCCGTTTTTAAGCAAACATATTGATACTCACAATTTTCGACGGAAAACGCACCGGAATTTGATTTACTCAACACGCACCATACTACACACTCAGAAATTTTTACCGTACTCGGTAATTTTTTACCGAACTTTCAACAGCTGAACGTTCGGTAATCAGTTCGGTAAACGAAATGCCTACCGAACGTTCGGTAAACCAATTTTTTGATGAGCTGTCAAAATTACCGAACGATTCGGTACTTTTTTGCGAAGCGATTCGGTAATTTTTTACCGAACTGTTCTGTTAAACTGATTTTCCCACTATTTTTTAATTTTACTACCGTTTTCAGTTAATTTGAATTAAAAAGTCTTGAAATAATATTTATCAGTTTTTATTTAATTTTAAAACCGTCACTGCACTTGTGATACGTGCAATAAAAAATGTATTTGACGCCGAAATGTGTTAGAGCCCGATGTTATGCGATGCAGTCCAGATAAATAACCTGCAATCAAATCATGCTATCGCTGAAAATGCCTGGAAAATAATTGGATTTGCTAAATAAACAGTTACTCACGAAATATGTCGGTGATCCATTGATTGTGGTCAAGAATTTTTATCCTTACCTGCTGCACTTGATTCCGGATGCACTATTTACCATTCACTGGTAAATAAAGCCTCTCCAGAGTTCATCAAATTTATAATCAAACTACCGAAACTTCGTTAAAATTTTACCGAATATTGGTGAAATTATTTTTGTTTACCGAAAAATCTGTAATATACTAAATTTACCGATTATTTCCGGTAAAAAATTACCGAACAAGCAAAACGTAGCTGAGTGTGTATAGAATGGTGCTGGATGGTCTTCAAAGTGATAACAAGATGACAAATATCATCTTTATTTTGAGTAATTGAGCAATTTACTTCTGTTTACATTATGTTTACGATGCAGCATTGATGGAGCCGTGAAATGAAATGAATATATCTTATGAAAGTTTATCTGGAAAAGTCAAAGATGCACATCAGTCTGATCGTAAAAACGTTTTCTTCTTCAATTCGAATGTTATATTGGAAGGATTTTACGCAGGCTTGATGAAAATTATGATTTAATGCCAATTTTCACAAATTTTATATGCAGTCTGTCAACATTATCATCATCATGCAGTGGCGACATCTGCGTTGAGCTTTTGCGGCAATCTTCCAATACCACCTTTTAATTTCTGTATACACCTTGCTTTTTGGAGCCCCTTTTTAGCTCAGCTCATAAGTTTGCGCGCCACCTCTGCTACATTTGCTTTAGCTTTTGCGCATTCAAATCCCAATTTTGACAGTACCGTGCTAATGAGAAAAATATTATCGCTTGCCAGCGACATTAATCCAAATCTTATTGTTTAATTCGGTATTTTACCCATAAAATCCAAATTTTTCGAGGTAACTTAACTGTTCGATTGATAATCTAACGTTTTGCAATAAATTAATTGTGTTTTGATTACGTTAAATACTGAAATTCTTGGTTGCTTGGAAGCGACGCAGAATGACTCCTCCCCGCTGCATGGGAGCGGAAAAAAAGACCGAAATCGTACATGTTTACTTTTATTCTTCTGTAGGTGTCTTCCAACGCAATTCGGAGGAAATCAGCTCAAAATGAGTGCAACGGAGCCGGAGAAGAGCAATAGCAGTGCCGCTTCCTTCGCCAATCTTCCGGTGGAAGATGGATCACTTACTGCTCCTGCAGCTTCCGGTGTAAAGAAGACCCATCTCGAAGCAGACGCCGTTATGAGTGACGACGACAGCAAAGTGATCACCACATTAGAGACGGCAAAGTCAACTAGTGAGAAGGTGATTATCCACAGTCAGACAATCATCAAGCCGGCTGGGACAAAAGACGGGGCTGCAAAGTCAGCATCTGCAGCAGCGGATGATTTGCTGGCCAGGATGAAAAGTCGATTGAACAAACAAATCGATTTGAATGTTTTAACTACTCCAAAAATGCATCATCACGTGCCGCACGGAACTCACGATACCAGTGGATCGATCGAAATTCCGGCGGATTTCATTTTGGGCAGTGATATTCCGGCAACGCCAGCGAATGTTACCAAAGAAGAACTGGAGGATCACGACCTGATAGCGATTCTCGAAGGTGATGATGTGGAAATTATGGAAAATGCGACCGAAATTGAAGTAAGGGTTGGTGGAACTGACGAAGGTATGTATGATGACGAACAAGTGTTGGAGGAAATTCACATATCTATCGTAGATGAGCAGGATCTGGAGTCGGAAAAGAAAGAGCGGGAAAAGGAGATCGCTATGAGACAAATGGCAAATCTCCCGCAGCTACCTAAAGGACGAAGACCAAAGCAAGCCCTCGACGCCAATGAGATTCAGGAGGCTAAGCTGGCAGTAGTGAAACCGGTAGCTTCAAAGCGTGGCATTTCGAAGTCTACGGCCCCGTCACTTCCGACGCTGAAAGTAGAAACTGGACCTGCAGAGGTAACACCACCTCCAAAACCCAAATTGGAAACGAAAAATTCTCCCGCCAGACCGGTCACGGGAACTCTAGGAGGGATTACCATCAAAGGACAAACAACAATCACACCTCTTCCGAAACCGATAATCATCAAAACCGAACCCTCTGAAAAGAAGGTTTCCCCTTCTCCGACGAAAAAGGTAATGGTTCCGCCTTCAAAACCTGCTTCTGTTTCAACACAAGTGGTGCCGAAAACAGCACCAGTTCTCAATTCACTGCCGCAAAAACCGTCACCAGTTTCAAATGCATTGCCGCAGAAATCTGTACCTGTTTCCAAAGCGTTGCCACCGAAGCAAAAATTAAACCCATCAGTTCCAAGACCGATTCCTCTTCCCCCTCCGAAGAAAAAGACCGATGATCTGATCAGTTCAATTGTTTCCGATTGGGATGATGAACCTTTGGTATTAAAAAAAGAACCAGTAAGTCCGGTTGCTTCACCTGCCCCAAAACAAGCGTCAGTTTCATCTGCACCTGCGACAGGTCTTCCGATGGCGCCACCGCAACCACCATCAGCCGAGGAGCCACTGAAACGTTCTCGTGTTATCAAGAAGAAAATTATCTGGGACCCGGACAACCCGGAAACGCACATGTCCTTTGCCAGCTTTGTTAAGTCCAACAGAACAAAACCCGAAAGCCAAAATGAGGCCCAAACGACACCAACTACGACCCGACCTCCCGGTACTGGAATTCGCCGCAAGCGCGCGGAATCCGTTGCCGTGCATATGATTAAAGATACCCCACCTCAATTTGCTCTGCCACCTCCGCGGAAACGAGCTCGTACTCCTGAACCAGTATCTAAACCACCTGTTACGTCAGCTGCTCCTGTGGCATCGAAAAAGAAAAAGAAAAGTGAAATCGATAAGCTTCTCGGAGACGAGGGAGCAATCAAAATGTTGTATGATTTAGAATGCGAGAACAGTAACATAGAAAAACCTTCTGAGTTTGACGATTCCGACGAGGAAAGTGAGAAGCGCATTGCAATTATTAAACAAAGAAGTTCTCCCAACGAGGGCACCACTCACGTTCCTCGAGTAAGACAGAAACGACATCCGGTGCAAACATCTACCAGTCCGGCTCCAACGGCAACGGCATCCACTTCAGAACCACCTCCCAGAACAAGCACCTCTGGTGTCGTTGGCCGCAAACGTAAACGGCCAAATTCTGCTTCGGAGGACTGGGACTACGTTTACAACTCACAAAAAAACTGTGATGACGCCATGATCATCCGTCGACGCTCCAACAGCTCCTACTCTAGCTCCACCAGTCCTAGACGTCTCAGCGTCGATCAACCGGGTGCCACTTCTACTGAAACCACCCCCGCAGACACTGCGGGAGCGTCCAACTTTGAATTCGTCAAACCTTCGAACAAAACTCCACCTAAACAAGAGGACATAAAACTTGATTCATCCCTCGTAGCCAACATGAAAGGAAAGCTTAGCAAAGTTCTCGGATTCAAAAAGGAAGAACAAACAGCCAGCATATCATCCCCGCCGACGTCCACCGGTAAAAAACCGGAAAAGAAGCTCAAAACTCCACCTAAGGTGGCGGAAACCGCGACTCCAACGACTTCAACGACGCCGACGACAACGACAACCGTTCGAGTCGAAGAAAATGGGACCGACAAGAGTTGGGAATCCGTACACAAACAGCTAACCGAGCTGAAGTTGCAGGAGCTCACCTACAAGCGTGCCGGGAATTATGTTGAAATCATCCTGGCATCTAAGGATAACAAACTATTGGATGTCTTTACTGTTGAGGTGAGCTGAAACTACCATATGGGATGTTCCACATATCCAATTTTGCTTTATTCCAGTTATTGAACGAATTAAAAACCGTACTGAATATTCTTAAAAGTGACTCGAACACGAGAGCCGTACTCCTGCGGTCAAGTGGAAAACACTTCTGCAGAGGAATCGATTTGGCCTATCTCATTCAAAGTAATGCAGAGAAACGGAAAACCGCCGCTCAGGTGTACAGCGGTCATATAAGGTAATTCACCTGCGCATGGTTCAATCCGGTTAGCTTGTTAATATTTTCTCTGTGCCGCAGGAATTTTCTCCAAACGTTGGCCATGTTCAACAAACCCCTGGTCGCAGCCGTACATGGCGACCTCCTTGGAATGGGTGTAACGATCCTACCACTGTTTGATGTCGTCATCGCACAGGATACAACAACGTTTCTCACGCCATATGCAGTTTTCGGGTATCTCCCGGAGGCGATGAAGCTATTTTCTTCGGCGAAAAATTTGAAACCAAAAGCGGTAAATTTCTGCAGCATTTTAATTTGGATGTTTTTCCAGCTATAGACATCAATCTCATTTCAGATAACGGATATGCTTTTTCTCAGTAGAAAAGTGTCGGCCAGTACAGCATTGGACTACGGGATTGTTTCGGAGGTGACAAGCTCCGAAAAACTGCAGGAACGGGCCGATATTGTGACGAAAAAATTGGCGACACTTTCGCAACAGGTAAGCTTGCTAACACACACATACAAATCCTTTTTAATATTGCCTACTAGCTATAATATTCAATCACCACCAATCGTAATCGTAAATCGGCACGCATCGTGCCCGGTAGGCCGGTCCTCGGTAGAACAGTTCACTGATTTCCGACGTTTCGTAATCGTCCAAATCAAACTTGCACTGGTGGGACATCGGACAGGTGCAGCGGTGAAAGATGAAACCGTAATCGGGACGGGCGTATCCACAGAAATCGTACGGTTTGCAGCGGTCCAGGGCTGTAAATCAGGAAAGAAATAAAAGTGATTGTTAATTGGTACCTACTTAGGTTGGTTCGCTATGAACAGTAAATGATCCGGAGATCCCGGCAATACAAATTAAGGGTGTAGTGTCGCTGTCTATTTGGCAACCAGGATATTGGCAACCTCTGTCTTCTCCACTACTTACCCAGCTATCGTAAAGTTGGAAGTTAAACCCCTTAGGATCGTAATTCGTATCACAGTAGACAGAATCACTAGAATGTTGCTGACTACGTGGTAATGATTGGAGTAAATTCCAAGAACTTACATAAGACATGACTTAAGAACCTGTAAAAATTTGGTTACATAAGACATATACGGCTAATCGACTACTAAGTCAAGCTATTTTATTAGTTATTTTTGGAAAGAATAAGACACTTATGAATTCTGAAAATCTCATTAATAAAGATAACCAATCAACCAACATCAAGTTCTCAGCGGCGCCGGTGGTGTAGTGGTAAGCGTGATTGCCTCTCACCTCAGCAGGCCTGGGTTCAGTCCCAGTCGGCGCCGCCGGGATGTTCTAGGCATAACATCTCTGATCACGCCTTCCTTTGAAAGGGAAGTAAAGCCGTTGGTCCCCGGTTTATGAGTTAATGGGTGTATAGGGATAGGTAGGGTCCAGGTATGGGAGCTGCCTCCCTGGCGTCGGTAGCATTGGTGCTCAGTACGGAAAACAAGATCGACGGATAACAAATCAAGGAAAAACAAAAAAAACAACATCAAGTCAGTTTATCCCATCAAGCAAAGTGTTTATTGTTTATTGTTTATTGTTTATTGAAAAATTCAACTGACAATTACTGTCTAAATGAATAAAACTTAAACTAAATAGTTACGGTCAACGGTACGGAAAAGGCCAAGTAGCCGATGACGAAACACGTCAGCTGATACATTGAAGTCGAACATATAAAAAAAAAAGTTGTTGAATTGCCGGCTGATTGCTCGAATTGGCTCGTGTTGTGTATAATTCCGGCTCCGTGGTTCCAAAAACAGAAAGTCGCGTTGACGAAGAGACCTCTCAGGGGCATACATATTTAGCTGTGACAGCAGTGTTGGGCAGTCAATGTCACCTGTAAGCAGCTTTCCAGCGAACATAGCTTGAGCGACCGTCCGTCTCACCTCTATTTTTTTTAACTTTATTAAAAAGATTTTTTAGCCTTAGGCTAGTTCATCACTCTAGTCACCTCTAATGGCTCGATTCCCAGGAGACGGCAACGCTCCTCGTACGGTGGCAAGTTCGTTGGGTCACGCCAGTTGAGAAACCGAAGAGCATATCTCACAAACTTGCGTTGAACGGATTCAATTCTAGTGATCCAGCTAGCATGGAAAGGGCACCAAACAACTAAACTTGACTCCAATAAGGATCGCACAAGCGAGCAGTAGAGTGACCTGAGGCATAGCGGGTCACGGAACTCGTTGGAGATTTTGAAAATAAAGCCCAATTGTCGATTAGCGCTGGAGATGATGTCATTGTAGTGGATTCTGAAAGTGAGTCTGCAGTCCAAGATAACGCCGAGATCCTTTATGTGCTCTACACGAGCGAGACAGTGTCCGTAGAGAACATAGTCAAACATGATTGGTTCGATTTTTCGGTGAAAGGAAATAATGTTGCATTTTTCTATGCTTAGACTGATCAAATTTCCTGGGAAAACATCCGATTCCGACGCGCCAATCTTGACATGTACATAGCGATTCACCAAGTAAGATCTGAACCAATCCACAGCAGTTGACGAGATGCCAAGTATTTCCAGCTTGGCCAGCAAAATATTATGGTCCACCGTGTCAAATGCACCTTTTAGATCCATATACGCAGTATCGACTTGCCATCCTGAATCCATGCATCGCAGACAGTTAGAAGTGAACTGCACCAGGTTCGTGGACACGGAGCGCTTCGGGTAGAAACCGTGTTGTTCTGTATCGATATAATTTTTGCAGCGTGCGAACAGGGCACCATTTATGATAATCTCGAACAGTTTTGAGCAGGCACACAGGGAGGTGATTCCACGATAATTTATGACATTCCGTTTATCTCCTTTTTTGTGCACTGGGAACAGATAAGAAAGTTTCCAGCGGCAGTGGAACTCACATTGCTGTGCCGATAGATTGAATAGCCTCGCAAGTGGAAGGCAGAGATTGGCTACACAACGTTTTAGAACTGATGACGGAATGCCGTCAGGTCCAGAGGCGAAGGAGAGCTTCAGTTTGCGTGTTGCGGCTATCACCATGTCTTCTGAAATGCGCAGAATAACGAAACTAAACGCATCACGTGGCATCCCAACAGTAGCGTCCAGCACTTGTGTTGGCGAAGCGGAGAAATCGTTGAACACTTGCTTGAAATGACGAGCAAACAAGTCGCATTTTTCTCTTTCACTATTAGCTGAGTCATTCCCGAGAAACATGGAACAAGGCAACCCGGATTCCTTCGGTTTGGAGTTGACAAACGACCAAAAACTTTTCGGATTCGTGCGAAGGTTCGCTTCCGTGCGTCTCACGTGTCGAATATAGAGAAAACGATTGTAATTTCGATAACTACGACTCGCAAAATTGAACAGTCGTTTGTAGTACGGCGAGCGAGAGTTACAATAATACTTTCGGAGGGCGGCAGAGCGTTGGAGACGACTGTATTCGGTCGGAGTGCTAACACCTGCGAGTACGCTCCCTGCGACGCTGAGCTCTCGAGTGACTCATTTGTCACTGCGACGATGCTGGAAGGCGCATGTAATGGATAGTTGTCATTATCCAGGAATGACTTCCGGTTTAACTCGTCAGTAGAATGTTGCGTGTATTTTAGCTAAGTTATAAATTCTGTTTTATCAGTTAATGTGCACGTCAGTTATTCCGTATATAGGGAGACCTTTCATTCACAGACCGAGTTTCTCTTAAATACAAAAGTGGCGACTAGGATGGGGTGCCCGCAATCTTGGTATCAGACAATCGAACACAGTTCACCAGCACTGAATTCGCCAACTTCTGCATGGCGAATGGGATAGAACACATTACAACATTCACAGTCGAACGGGCAGGCCGAACGTTTTGTGGACACGTTCAAACGCACCATCAAGAAGATTCGAGAGGGGAGAGGAGCGACGAAGCTTTGGACATATTTCTGCTTACATATCGGAGCACACCAAATCACTCCTTACCGCAAAGCAAATCGCCATCTGAGGTCATGTTTGGTCGCCAAATCCGGACATGCCTCGAGTTGCTTCGTCCACCAACAGTTCGTAAGCCAGAACAAACAGTAAAACCAGACAAACAGCCAAGGACCTACAGCAAGAACGATCTAGTTTACGCCAAGGTCTACACACGAAACAGTTGGAAATGGGCACCAGGCGTCGTGTTTCAACGCCTGGGAGACGTCATGTACAATGTGTGGATCGAAGACTGTAGAATGCTGCGCTCACACATTAATTAGTTACGAAGCCAAACCGTGATAAATTCAGCACCAAGCCAGTCAACTCACCCAGTCAGCAGTTGTGAACAGATATTACCATTGGATGTTCTACTTGAAGCCTGGAACTTGTCTGAACCAGGTCCGAATACGCAAGCTTCACTTCCAGCTCCAGTAACACCATCGTCTGAGCAAGCTTCTGCTCCCGTGATGGATTCCACAAACAATGTGTGTGATTCTTAACCAAAATGTCAGTTGAGCATCTCATAATAAATTGCCCTGCATATCAAACACTCCGAGACCAATACGGTATCGGTCCCAACATCAGAGACGCATTATCCAATGACACAGACAGGGAAAGATCACTTCTCGACACGACAACGAACGAACAACGGCACTTGGCCAACACCAGCTCTCTAAATGACAGGAAAAACGGAAGAACGACGACGACAACCCCGCATGCTACGGACATTGACCCTCTCTCGCAAATTAATCCTCGAATTAATCACAACTTCGTTCACTTCCCTTATGCTGGGTTTAGACTAGGCAAGTCAAATGATCAACTCAGTTGAATTCAATTGGCTTGAAAAGTTGAGCCTGGTTCAACTTTTTTCAATTCAAGTGAGTTGATCAAGTCAGTTGAATGGCATGGTTTACACGTTCAATTCGCGTTCAAGTCAGTTGAATTCAACTGACTTGATCAATTGACTTGCCCTGTCTAAACCCAGCTTTACTCTTACAACAGTCGACACAGAAAAAGCAAAAGAATAAGAAGAATAAGGTTGTATTGGCTATGAAAAGCAAATGCACCGATAAATGTTAATCCAAACCGAGGGGTGCGACACATCCAGATTATCTACTTTACACCATAAATCTCACATATCTTTTGATCATCTATTTACTGTGAACTATCTGTTTTTATCTGTGCCATCTATTCATCTACTCTCGCATCTTGCGATCCACTCACATTTTTTCTTGATCGAACCAATTTACGAACGAGCAAAAGCAGCAAGCGAAGGCAGCACACCAATTGGCGTTGACGGCACCGTGGAAATTATCTGTTCTAGCATAATTTGACAGTATCTTATTTGTATTTTCGGAGGAGTGAGGAGATATTACAAAGGTCACCATGTTTCACGCAGTCTGACGTTTTCTTACAGGATTTTCCATAAGAGTAAAGAGCTATAAAGTTACCGTCAACGCCAATAGCGTTTGTTTACGTGTGCTGCGAGTTGTTGCTATACACAGAAAATGCATCGTCGTAACGCGGTAATTAATGTTTCGTGAATCAAATATGATCCTGTCCGTTGTGAGGATGAGCTGGTGTCACCGACCGATCTTCCAATCGGGAAGCTTGTATTGCTGATCGTAAGTTGCTGTGCTATGATAGATTATTTGTGAAGTTTTCATTTTATTTTAATCAATATTTTTCAGTGCTACCAAATTCTGCTAGCAGCGGTGAGTACGCTGCTGCGGAAGCTGAACGGAAATCCTGACCTAGCCATAGGTTTTATCAAAATCACCAATCTTCTTTGAAAGTAATGGCTTATAATGTGCTACAACATGAAATACGGGAATTGAAAGATGGATTGAAAAGAAAGTGCGATAAGTTTCATTTTCATTTGACAAACAACACTGCCGGAGCGGGATTTTTGGTACGGCCTTCATCCGCATCAGCAATAACTGGGCCAAGGGCAGTCCAATGGTAAGCAATGGATCGCTGGAGAAACTGTCCTAGGCTAGTGCGGCCAACGGCTAACTATCAATGATTATTAAAATTAATTATTTATTTTTTCATAATAATTTTATTGTGTTGCAGTCGAGATAATAAAAAATAATAATAATAACTTAAGAACTAATAGTCTATTAAGCTGAAGCCTAAAGCTAACTAAAACAAGGAGAAGGAACGTAAGAACTGGTAATTGAAAAGTAATAAAAATGTACACCAATCCCAGTTTAAATACACCTGAATTAATCCACAATAGAGTCAACATAGATAACATGAAGGAGAAAGAGGAACTACAGAACATAAGTCCTCTCGTATTCATCAATATCGGATAGAATGATGTCGTTACGGGGAACTTGGATTCATACTTTTTCCATGGCTTACAATTTCTGAATTATAAATTAAGATATGATTCCCACTTATTTGGATAGATCTTTCAGCGTCGAGCAGTGAACTGTATGATTATCAATCCATAAAATAGTCAGACCTATTCTTCGAGTATGTATTGCGGTGCAGCTATTGAAAATACTCCAAAAAGTCTACCTCCCTCGTTTATCAGGGGAGAAGAATCGTTGACGTGTTAAAGGAGGAAAATAATTCTCACGCTCGAACAATTATTATTGGACAAAACTACTTTTCTGTTCGAGCGAGATAGAGTGAACAACAAACAAATTTAATTTTAATGCAATATTTTACGTTACACTACAAGCGCATCTTAATCAGAATACAATGAATAATGTTGTATATCATCTTAGATTATGAAATATGCACTGGAGCATTCGGATGAGAGATCCCTCTGGTTTGGATGTCCAAGTCGCCATGCGCACCATGTCGGTGCATGGGAGCCGCATGCGAACCTGGATTAGAATAAACTGCAGCCTTTGGATGAGCGCTGAAGATAACTCGTAGCTTTTGTAGTAGCCGCATGCCATCGATAGGACTATTTCTGCGAAAAGATTAAACGAAACATGGAATTAATTGTCGACCTTCTTGCCAAAAATAGCAATAAATTAAAACAGAATTCGGATGGTCACCACTCACTGCATATGTATTATCATTATTTATATTCAACTACAACAAATGCCAATATTATAATTACAGTTAATACCAGTGGTATCCTTGATCTTGATTTGCTATAATGTGCAAGTTAATAGAAAAAATGATAAAGTGGATGGTGACCTTACGATACGCAGCAAAAACACATGTGAAATCGATCATCGTAATTTAACCTGATGTATAATACCCAAAAGCAGATACAATATTACCTACATCAAAACGAAACATTTTTTGTACGAACGGTTGCATGAAAAATATTTTCATTTCGAGCTACGCTACGCCGGTTGCAGCAGTATGGAAGTAATATTCAACAACTTTTTTTTACTGTTTCATCTAATGTGTTGATAAAGAAGAATTTGTGTTGTATTTTAATTACGTAGGGGAAATTACGGCTTCGGTAATTTTTGTTCATTTTTTAACAAACGATGCTCTACAATATGATGCACCTTCATGCCAAAAATCAGCGCCCAAGGAATTCATTTACCTCCCTGACAATAACATATAAAAAAGTGCTATAGCCGTCATTTCCCCTAGTAGAAAAAAAAACGTGAAAATTGTTGAGTGTTGTGATGGTATCAATATTAGTTCGAAGAAGTCTGAGAAGGAACTCTGATAAATAGACTAAAATTAACTAATGCTGCAGATACACTTATCAGACAAACTATGAGCATGGCGCTATGGTACGGGCTGCTAGTAAGTGGATATGATTGACCGGAGTAGTGGAGTCGAGTTCTAAAGGGCCACTCACAATGACGTTGCGTTTGCGTGGATTTGAGTTAAGCCTTGGATCAAATTTACGTCAACGGAACGCCAACGTATCCATTGTGGGTGCCCCTTTAGTACTCGGCTACTAGAATTGAAGATTGATATCGTATGGACGACGGTCCCTGCTGAACCTTAGGGCGCTGAGACTCCCGCTTCATAAGGGCTTCCTGTTATCCAACGATTTGGTTATCGCTCTATCAAAAATGTAAACGACGGTAATGGTCTCTTAAAATTTGCAATTGTGATGATAGGCAAGCAGATTTACCGCTGGTACGTTATCGGCAATGTTGGAATGCAATTCATCTAGCTAAAATTAAGAAGAAATCGAAATCGATAACAGGAATTTAGCAATGCATTATTTTAACAAAATGAGACTCACTTGACACATTTTTTTTTAACTTCGCCACAACAGAACAACAGAAGTTGCAAAAATATAGCGACGCATCTTCGGCGAAAGATACATATCGACAGTGAGCATGCATAAAGGCGTAAACACGATGATCGATTCTCTGCGTCGATTTTTTTTTGTTAATAACTAGATTTAACGTTTCTCAGTGCGTTTACTGTTGCTTTTGAAAGCCAATACAACCTGTTACAACTCTGCATTGAACAAATTCTAGAAAATTGTTCCGCTTAGCTGTAGCAATGCAAAGAGAAAATCGATGAAGAGAATCGATCATCGCGTATACGCTCTTATGCATGCTCACTGTAGAAATGTTCATGAATAATGAATAATGAGCATTTAGTATTCATTATAAGTAAACATTGCGCGCAGCTTTTTCTCGAGTGAGTGAACTCAAATCCATCCGTGCACTATTGACGAGTGCACGGATGGATTTGAGTTCACTCACTCGACAAAAAGTGACACAACAGCGGGGCCCTGTTTACTAAAAATGAACACATATGTGTTCATTTTTAGTAAACAGGGCCCCGCTGTTGTGTCACTTTTTGTCGAGTGAGTGAACTCAAATACATCCGTGCACTCGTCAATAGTCTATTTATGTTGCTATAAAATTATGATTGGTTGCTTACCCGCTTAAACCTTAAACTGCTAAATTTGATCTTGTACACGGTAAGAAAAAATTACCAAAAAGTAAGTTCTTTTCACTCATCTCGGCACTACAGTGCAGGAAGCCAAAAGTATGTTTTTTTTTTTTTCTTTTGGTTTGTTTTCCATCGATCTTGTTTTCCGTGCCGAGCACCAATGCTACCGACGCCAGGAAGGCAGCTCCCACACCTGGACCCTACCTATCGACCCATCAACTCATGAACCGGGGACCAACGGCTTTACTTCCCTTCCGAAGGAAGACTATGCCAAAAGTATGTAAAGCGGGTCAAATTAGTTTTCATTTTACTTGTGTGCAATTCGTATGTAATTTTCCATTTGCTTTCTACTCAAAAGTAAATTAGTTGTACCCTGAGTGGTGCGGATTCAATCACTTAAAATTTTCAAGTTATTTTGCTTGAAAAATAAATCACAAATTGGCATCTATTTTCCAGAGAAAATTCACTTTATTACCCCTTTTGGTTGGTTTTACTTATCTATTTTAGACAACATTAGAAGGATAAAAAGAGACAAACAAGTTAAAAGTACGTAAAAGTGAACTGACTGCTGGGTATTTTTCTTACCGTGATGATTTAGAAGTCTTCTGAATGTAAAAATGATCCTTTGGCTCAGATTTTGGCATAACTGGCTCAAAAAATCATATCTGCTCATCGCTTCCTCTACGCATAGGCGTAGCCAGAGGGAGGCAGGGGGGCAAATTCCCCCTTAAACCCAGCAACACAAAGGCTTCCGGTGAAATGGCGTTCGGTAAAATGACATTCGACCAAATTTTCCATAGAATTTTTTTTTCGTCCCTCCCTAGCTCGGAACCTGGTTAAGCCCTTGTCTCTACGTCTGAGTATTTCTAATCACTTCGATCAAAAATATTGTCAATACCCAGAAGTATTGTCAATTATAAGATGCAAATATTTATGCATAATAAGAAACCGCGAAACACAGGTGCACGTATAAATTCGAATGCTATCAGGTGTGTAATATTTTGCTGTACGATGTACACAGCACTTTCGAATAAATTTACAGCTTTGGATGTAATTTTGTATCTGCTTTGTATTATTAATGTTTACTGTAATTAACTGTTTATATTCGAATAAAAAAATATATACCTTTATAAAAATGTTTACTACAGTAACTGTCATGTTTACTGGATCGGATAGCAATTGAATGTTAAATTTGTCATTCGTATTCTTTAAATAAATCATTGCTCTTTTAACTATATAATTCAAATATAAAAAAATACATACCCATATTGAAATAATGATTAGAACTGCTTTATGTAGGAGACGCACTCGTTGGGATAGTAAAATAACGCAGATAAAATCGAAGGCTTTTTCAGGTGACTCACGTAGTATTTAACATTTTTTGTTGAATTGTTGCTAGAAAAATCTAGCACATACTCTCCATCGCATTCTAGTATTTCAAAAGCTGTTCCTAGAAGTCCTATGCCTCTGTGTTGCACATCCTTAGGAGGTTTTATTGGAACCATCGGTGATGAATAAGAGCAATTTTTCCCTTTTAAGTATTTAAACCCATACACTTTCAGCACACTCAACATCTCATTCTCCTTGATAAGTACAAATTCTCCTACCACAATATTGTCGTACACTTCATTGGCATATTTAGGGTAGTGCCTTTCCATGTTGTTGTCCATAAAACGATATGTGCGATCAGTCGAGCATTTTTGTAAGCCAGAAATTAACATCCACAAGAAAGTGCGTTTTTTTACGTGAACTACTTTGTTCTGTTGGGTTTTGATTTTGAATACGTTTTTGTGGTTTATTGAATTGCGTAGCAATAACTCGCTGCCAACATTTTGAAAGAGTTCAGAGGCATCATGGATGTCATTGTTGCTGTTTTTTTCGAAAGTTTCAAATTCGTCGGGAACAGTGATGAACTCAACATCACCTAAACTGGTAGTTGGCTTCTCTTTTAGACTTTTGGTCGATACACTGCATTCAAACGAAATGTCATTAGCATCAACTCCTAGATCGATCAAAATATCCCGTGCTGATTGTTGGGCTTGCTCTACTATATCAATAATTTCATCGGTTGTCGGCATTTTGAAACTTGTATCATCCATTGATCTTTTCTTCACACCAGGGAATTTCAACGCTTGTTGGTTCCTGTGCATGACGTCTCTTTTGAACTGAATTCTGTTTAAACGGGATTCGAAACCTTGGATGGTGAAGTTTACTACAGTTGATTCTGTTGACGTGAAGGCTCTAGCATCTCTAAACGTCCCTTCGCAGGTTTGGCTTTGGAGTAACGTTGTGTTGAATTCGGTCCCGTGGTCTCGGCAGTACACAACATAATTTATAAGCGCATGTGCATTTATTTCAAGCCCCCAATAGGCATTCGATGTGATACAATTTAGAATATTGTTGAATTTCCTCACACACCAATTACGCCAGCCTCGTATAAGAAATAATGAGTGCCTGTTAACAAAAAAAAAAAAATAAGTAAAAGTGGCAATAAAAAATAAAATATCAAATTTTAGGCAGTCCTAGCTTATAAGTTATTGGCAAATCAAACTTGGCAGCCGTGGATAATAGAAGAACTATGAAAGTGATGATTTCAAAATTTTCCACGGGAACGACGAGTACAATCTTGACATTCATTTATTTTACAAACAAATTATTTAAAAATTTAATTTGCTATGTTAGTAGAAAATTAAAGGGCTGCTCGATAGACATATAAAATACAAATCGTATCTAATTTTTAGTTATGCACATAGATTTAAACTTTTCTACAACCACAACTCCATTGGCATACTAGAAGCATTTTAAGATTTCACTCCTGTACCTCACCGTGCAAAATTTTGAAATCAATATCACTTTCATCGACCATGTAAAGACATTCCCAGGTATTTTCAGCACACATATCGATAAAAGAAGCTTTTATTTAGCATCTAATACGACAAACACAACAAAAAAGGTTATGTGCTCAAGATATTAACGAAAGAGAATGTCGACGAAGAGAATCGATCAATGTTACTTAGGACCTAATGCAATGTTCAGCTTAATTTCTTTTATTCTTCATGGGGCAGCTTTTTTTTGCAAAGTGCGTGCGTATAATTTTTATTCCATTAATTGCATGTGTATTTTGTGGATTTCTATCAGTGTACTATACTATTTTATAGCAATGAATAAAATTCTTCCCTTTTATAATAACCTTGAATCATATAAATAAAATTTGTAATAACTAAAGAGACTGAATTGACGAGTGCACGGATGGATTTGAGTTCACTCACTCGACAAAAAGTGACACAATAGCGGGGCCCTGTTTACTAAAAATGAACACATATATGTTCATTTTTAGTAAACAGGGCCCCGCTGTTGTGTCACTTTTTGTCGAGTGAGTGAACTCAAATTCATCCGTGCACTCGTCAATTGGATAGTGCACCGATGGATTTGTATTCACTCACTCGAGAAAAGTGACAAGCTGCGGGCAATGTTTTCTAATCATGAACACTAAATGCTCATGAATAATGGATAAACATTGCCCGTCACTTGTGTCACTTTTCTCGAGTGAGTGAACTCAAATCCATTCGTGCACTAGTCTATTATAGCGGGAATTCATCTTGCACAACTATTCAGAAGGTCCAAAATACATTGATCAATTCTCTTTATCGAGTTTCTCTTTCAATCACCAAAGTCTTGTGAAAACATTTCCGGAAATTTTTGATATCAATATTAAGTAAAAATAGTTTATTAAGTACCAAGTACAAGCACGACAAGAAACGTATTTAGTGGAGTTATTAACGGAATAAAGTGTTGTTGAAAAATGCTAAATTTTAGACTGGAACTTATGAAAAGTTTTGCGAGATTTATGTTTACTGTTGTTCTTTTCAGTGTTAAACGTGATATTTTTTTCAGATTTTAAATTGACAATTAGAGAAAAATAATCACACATTTCGCTCAAAATTCATCTTTATTTGGGCCGTTCGTCAAAACCGAGGATTGAGGTAACTTGTTGCTATGTTATACCACGTTCAGACTACATAGTTATAACATGTTTTAAAAATTATCAACAGAGAACAACAATTAAACTACCTTCAATATAGCGCTGGCCAGACTGAGCATTTAAAACATGTTATAACGGTTGTCAAATAATTGGCCAGCGTTTTAGAAATTGGCTCAGATGAGGAGCATAGCCTAGTTCTGTACCTCACTTCTATTAGTTTTTTTTTTATTTTTTAGGAAAGAAAAATGGTAAGTACTCACCAGATATTATACACTTTCTGAAGCGGTGATAATTTTTCGTCCATATACGATGACATGATATCGCCAATCGCTCTCAGCAATGTTGCAGTACCATTGCTGTTGGGAATCTGGCTCAAACAGGAAATGACTCTTACCTCGGTCATTTTTTCAACCGGTTTAAACTTCATTTTATCTTTCTCGTCAATATCACTCATACATAGTCCGTGTTTATCTTTGGAAACAGTTGTTATGAGTTCCAACAAATGTATCCTAGATACATTGTAATTGCCTTGAACAGTAAGAAGAAATACAATTTAAAATTATTATTTGGATATACATATCAACAAATCTGGATTACCCAGTAACAACTGTTTGCTGGCCTTCATCAAACGGGTCCTCAATTTGTTTGCCAGATGAGTTGGGTCCTGAACGCATATTGAATTATTTGATGCAAACCACTCTCCAAAGCTATGGTCATTGGATTTATTAAACTCCATCTCGTCGATCATTGCCCTTATGAAGCGGGTATCACCGTCTGTCGCTTTGCACACTACTTGGATTTCTGCCTTCTGGAGTTCGCGTTTTATATGGTGCCATTTTTTTGTAACTGATTCCGTATCGAATCTATTGTCCGTACAGTAATATAAACAACAAAATGGTGCGGCGCCAGTAGCCATAGGTTGAGCCATTCCCAGTTCAACATTCATTGCAATTGGATAATTTCGAATATGTTTAATAATTTGTTGTGGCGTTGAGCAATTGAAAAGTCCTTTTATAGGTAAACCAGTGTTGCTATCCAGTGTGGCCACGAGACCACTTAGCTGGTCGGTGTCTGACCTATATTCTACCCCTCCAGAAATCCTCGTGGCATCTTCGCTCCAGCAGATGCTCAATGGGTAGCCATTAGCAACGAGGTATGATTTTAGCTCAGAGGCCATAAGTTGTCCTTCATTAAGCTGAGAGGCGTTTTGTTTTAGGTGACGTTGTAGTGTTCGAATGTGTGGAGATGATGCATTGGCCTTATCAAATTGATAGAGCTCTCTGCCACCTTGAATGAATCTATAATCAAAATTAATAATCATAAATGAAGCATTTTGTAAGGTTAAATAGTACAAACCTATAGGCATAAAAGTCCTTTTCGAGCGACGAATATCGCATCCCTTTAACTTTTGTAGAAGCAGATCTACTATAAACATTCAACTGTATTTTCAGACTGGCCTCCAAATCCGTGCTGCGATCGGCCACATCGTAGCACTTCAGTAGTTTAAATGCTCGATGGAACATTCATCATCGCCATCTTTTGCTTCTGAGACCAATTCCCTCAAATTTTCCTCATATTCACTGGATTGTTCAGGCATGTGAATCTCGTTCTGTTCAATGTCGATGTCTGAAAAGTATATCTCTTCGATAACTTCGTCGAAATCAGCCTCTACTACAGCCAACGGATCCTGAGTACTACAGTCTGCTGTGGACGAGCAGGAAACGTGATTGGATGCTTCGTCCGCTACCGTTGGACTTTTGAGCATTTCTTCCATTGAACTTTCGTAAATTACTTCCTGTAAACTTTCGTCAATCGCTTCCTGTGAACTTTGGAGAATCATGTTCGATGAACTTTCTTGCATCACTTCCGTTGGACTTATCCTTATTGATTTCCGATGAACTGCAGCCGAGCTGATGAGATCAGTATCTTCCAGCTCAAAGATTGCTCGCTTTCGATGGCTTTCTGATGGCTTTGATGTTGTTTCAAGTTTGTGGACATTTTTTATGTGCGCAACGAAGTTCGATAACTTCCATTGTCCGGATTTTTCTGGCCGACATGAAATGTAGCTTGCGGTGGTGCACAAAGGACACTTGATTTTCGCCATCATATCCTCATGTTCAATCGGGGCAACTATGGTTAGCGACTTCAGCGATAGTAAGAACGCTCGATGTTCTTCGGAACCATCGTACCTAGAAAACTGATGTTTTATAAAACTTATTCAAAGGAAATAAAACCTAATTACCTTTTTTCATAGAACCTTACAACTTGTTCACGGATTGCAAGCTCATAGTCTGTAACCGGACTGTGTTGCGTATGAAGCTGCGATGCTCTCGAAGCTGTTACATTCGATGTTTGCGAGGGTGTTTGCTTCTCCTTCCTAAAGAAATAATTGATTCCTCGCTTCCTAACTGCTGCTGCCAGCATCTTCATGATAGCTCTTTCTCCGGCAAGAAAACGAAAATCTGCGGGATTGTTCTCAAATTTTTCGAAGCACTTCAAAAGATCCCTGTTGGATGTTTTAATAGACACTCGTTGAACATCTTTTTCAATGTTGGCGATTTCGTGGTCGTCGATATTCCCCAATGCAGCGTTCAAATAACCCGTGTATTCTAGGGCGCACTTTACGGGAAGCGGGATCCTACCCACATCTTTCTCGGCTGCTTTCCAAAACTCCTCCTCCGGAAGTATAGGTTTATTGTATATTTATTTTTATTTTCAGAAAAGAAAACGTTACTTACCATTGTGACACTAGCATTCACTTCCTCACTTGCATTCACTTGCTAACTGTTGTTATATTCACTGCACTTACTTAATCAGTTATTTCTCAACTTCAACTTAGAAAATGGAGATTTTTTTCTGCGGCTTGAAAAGCTGCTACAATTCATTCGCTGCCTCGCCTGCTGTTGCTTTTTTTTCACTTTTATCTGGTCATTCATCTAGCATTTTTCCACATCCTTGCTCGCATCTTCTTCCATCTTCGGCAGCGTTGGCAGCGATGAAAAAGTAGATGCAGCAGATGCTAGGGAAAGTAATCTAATGAATGTACACTGATCTAAAAAAGCGGTTCGATTCTTTACAGAATCCAATTGTAATTTAGATGTGTCGCACCCCTCGATCCAAACGAGTTATTAACAAAAAAAAAAAGAAAATCGCCGAAGAGAATCGGTCATTGCAGCTGACTTAAGTCTGCAATAATTTCTTTTCGCTAGGTATTATGAAAAAATACATGGCAAATGTTATTTGGATTCCTGAACAGATTGCGATCTTCATAAAAAATACCTGATGGTGAACCAGAAGACTTTAACGCTCATCTAGAAGGCTTAATGTAAATCTTATTCAAATGATTATACAGTCACTTCTTTCTAATTCGACATTGAAGGGACCGTGGAGTTACGGAGATAAATTTGGAAAAATTTGTATGGAGAGAGTGGTCCAAGTAGCCTGGATTTCCATCGAGCTAGGGAGAAATCGAGTAAAGGAGAGTTCACTGTATATCCAGAAGATTTTATGGAGATGTTTGATTACTGATTTTGGCTTGTTGGACAATTTAAGATCTTCATAATAAAACCTGATGGACCAGAAATCTTAAACAGAAAAAAAATCCAGAGGACATTATGAAGGTCATTGATTACCTGAAAAAGTTAATGAGAATTCTGGTAACGCAAGAATATGTGAAAATCGGGATGTCAATTGTTGTATGGTTGGAGATTTTCAAAATTATACCAGATACATCTAAAGCCTTAAATACAGCAATATGAAGAGGATTTTATGAAGAACTCTTATCTGTCAACGTGACATTATGAGTGAATATCTGAGAGAAGTGGTTTGAATTGATGGACAGTTAAAACCTTCAATAAGTAATCATGACCAACCTGAAGTCATGAACAAATATCTAGACCTCCCATAGTTATCAGGGTATTTGTTCAAGATTTCAGCCCAACAATTCAAAACCCTTAGATAGTCTATCAACATACCAGGTTGATCAGAAATTATTCAAAATACAAGGGCCTCATAGCCTAGTCAGTAAAGGCACGGTATTACCAAGCCGGAGGCGGCGGGCTCGATTCCCGGTCCGGTCGAGGGAATCTTTCGGGTTGGAAATTTTCTCGACTTCCCTGGGCATAGAGTAACATTGTGTTTGCCACACAATATACAAATTCATGCATTGGTATTGGCATCGAAAGCTCTCAATTAATAACTGTGGAAGTGCATTTAGAACACTAAGTTGAGAGCACGCAATAAGCTAATATGCACTAAGCTATAAGCTTGAAATGCGAATAAGAAGAAAGAAGAAGGGATCATAGGCCTCAACATATTTATGTCTGTAGTAGATAGAGTTAGTGTGGAATAGAAATAAATAGAATGAAATAGAATTAAGTGAAGCGTGATAGACCATATGTAAACGGAATCTGATTGGTTCGGAAATTTAAAGTGTGGGGTAGTAAAGTGTAACATTGAGCATAATCGTATTTACCTAGTTTAAGAAAGTTAGCTCTTTTGGATAGAAAGCTAGTGGAAAATTCCATACTAATTGCACACAAGTAAATAAAACTTACTTTGACCCGCTTTACCTACTTTTATAGCTGGCAGACTGTTCCTGCACAGATGAGTGAAAAGAACTTACTTTTGGGCACTTTTTTCTTATCGTGTAAGCTCGTTGACGGCATATTTCGCTGTTGAGCAGTACAGTAGACGTTTTTCTCTCGCTCGTTTCATTCGTTCGATTGCGTTATTTCGCTTATTGTCGTGTTGAGTAGTGACGCTCTCGCTGACCCAACCATGGGTTCCGGTAATCCCGGAAAACGGTCTAGGCCTGAAGACAACAGTGACAGTGCGACAACTGCGAAGTAGCTGCTTGACAATAATCGGTTCTCCGTTCCGAAGGACAACAAGGCCGCTGAAGAAAGACATAATGCCGCCCTTCTACGTGAAGGACTTCCCTACCGGACTGCGGGGAAAAAATAAACTTTACATCACGTCCGGTGCACCATCCAGCTGTGCACGGAAGGATACAAACTGATGGTCGTTTAACCATTACAAGGCGGTTCAGACCATGCTGGACAAAGCACAGGTGAAGTACTTCTCCAACGACATCGAGGCTGTTAAGCCGCTCAAGGTGGTCCTGCGAGGAATATACGACATAGACACAGGCGTCCTCTTGGAAGAGCTGGTGGCTAATGGACTGAAGCCGGTTCAAATTCACAAGATGGCCCGCCACAACAAGGCCGACAAGTACCGCGATCAGCTATACCTGGTCCACCTTGAGAAGAACTCAACAAGTTTGAAGGACCTCCAGGGCATTCGTGTCCAGTTCAACATCGTGGTAAAGTGGGAGCGGTACAAGCCGGTTAACCGCAGAGTCACCCAATGCTGTTCGGGCATGGAACGTAGAATTGCCGTATGGCCAGCCGCTGCACCAAGTGTGGCAAGCAACACACAACCGACGCCTGCGACAGACTCGATAAAGCTAATCCCATTTGCGTAAACTACGGTGCTGCTCACAAAGTTACAAGCAAGGTCTGACCGAAGCGCGCTGAGTATATAGAGATCCGGAAAAAAGCATCGACGAGAAACCAGCCCGGCCGCAAGAAGGTGCCGGAAATGAATGACCAGAACTTCCCACCGGTTTCACGACGACCAATTACAGTGCTGCCAGCGCTACCACTCAATCAACGATTGGCTGCTGCTCGTGTCTCTGCTACTGCTGCGGTGGCCGCCGCCGCTCAAGTTCAAACTGTCGGAGCCCGTGCAAACCTATGTCAACAGACGACTACTGCTCCACAGCAGGAGGATCCTCCCACAGCCCCAGGGTTAAACGGACGTCAGGATCAAAATCGCAAACTGGAACACTTGCTCGCTCAAGAGCAAAATTTTCGAGTTCGTTGACTTCCTCAACATCGACATCCCCATCATCACCGAAACTCACCTGAAACCGGAGATGAGCGTATTTCTTCCTGGATTCCGGCTCGTGAGGCTGGATCGGACAAGCTCTGGGGGTATTGGAGTGGCTATCGCTATTAGGAACAACATCTGCTGCCGGCTGATACTCAGTTTCCAGCTTAAAATGATTGAAGTATTGGGAGTGGAAGTCTCCACACCCGTCGGCCCCGTCACCATCATTGCGGCCTATTTCCCGAAACAAGCCAATGCCAGGGATGGATCCGTGGCAGACCTGTGGAGGGATATTATCAAGAAATCACGACACCGTGGAAAGTTCATCATCGCTGGCGACCTGAACGCCAAACATCAAGCTTGGGGCAACCAAAGGCGGACTCTGAACGGCACCATCCGGAACAACAACCAGCAAGAGGCCCAGTACACCATCCTGGCGTCGGACGCTCCCACCCGGTTGAGCCAGTTCGGCGTGCATTCCATCATCGACATCTTCGTCAGCAACATGGAGAACATCTCCCAACCGGTAGCCCACCTAGAGTTAAGCTCGGACCACTTTCCGGTGGTGGCCGAAGTGGGCTCCTCTGTTAATCGGGTGAGTAATTATCTGAACCTTGATCAGAATACTAAAAGCCTAATCAGACTCCGTAACGCCATGCGTAGGCAGTACCAGAGAACTCACCTTGAAGACCCATTCCAACCGTCTAACCAAACTTATCAAAGCGAAAATGGTTGAACTCAGAAATGAGAATTTTGCCAATAACATCCGTTCCCTCCCAGACTGTGCAAAACCCTTTTGGAAACTAACAAATGTCCTCAAAACCGAGGCCTATTCCACCGCTGGTTCCACTGAATTGTCCTGACGGCTCAGTGGTTAACCTGATAACTCCTGAAGAACAACATCGTCAGCCCTCACGAAGCTGAGGCTGCTGACAATGTAACTAATTTCCACCAGGTTCCTAACATCTTTCCCGAGGAATCCGAGATCACGGCTGACGAACTGTTGGCTTTTATCAAAACTTCCAAAAACATGAAGGCCCCAGGTTTTGACAACATCCTGAATTGGGAGTTCAAGCATTTTAGTTCTTGAAGCTAGCTAAAGTAATCCCCATTTGGAAACCTGGGAAGGATCCTTTCTCTCCTTCAGGTTACCGACCCATCAGCCTTCTCTCAGGGTTATGCAAGCTATTCGAAAGGGCAGTCTATCATCGGCTACTAACATCTGCCGAAGATCTCAACTTGTTACTCGAGGAACAGTTCGGCTTCCGGAAAGGTCGCTCGACCGTCCACCAGCTGGCTCGAGTGACAAACATCCTCCGACGGAACAAGTCTATTTCAAAAACTTCTGCCATGGCATTGTTGGACGTTGAAAAAGCGATGGCCTGGTCTATAAATTGCAGCAGTACGGTCTTCCAATCTTCCTCGTGAAGATCATCCAAAATTATCTATCGGAAAGGACGTTGCCAGTATTTCTGAATGGCATTTCATCGGTTGCATTCAACATCGGTGTCGGGGTTCCACAAGGAAGTATCCTTGCCCCATTATATTCAACCTGGAGCTCTGACTGCCAAACTTCAAAGAGGACTGGACTTCCTGTCTGAATATTTCAACAGCTGGAAGACCCGTATAAACACGGCAAAAACTCAGGTCATCATCTTTCCACACTCTAAATCTCCGAGGCTTGTTCCGTCAGAAAATACCAAAATCTGCCTGAACGGCACAGTAGTGGATTTTTCCAAAGAGGTAGTCTACCTCGGACTAACATTCGACGGCAAGCTGATTTTCAGGGAGCATGTTGACAAAACAAAAACTAAATGCAACACTGTACCCGCTTATCAATAGGAGATCCACCCTATTCCTGAAAAACAAGCTTGCTGTCTTCAAGCAAATAATCCTTCCCGTCATAGAGTACGGGTTGCCAATCTGGGAGAGTTGCGCAAATTCTCATCACCTCAAACTACAAAGGACCCACAACAAGATTCTGAGGATGATCCTCAACAGTCCACCGCGGACTAGAAATTCTGATGTCCACCGCCTGGCTGGTCTTCAGACCTTGGCGTTACGGAGAACTGCTACCATCGAAAGGTTCAGAGATTGCTGCATGCGATCCGATCAACAGATCATCAGGGTTCTGGCCCGTTATGTAGGTTAAGCAACTAGGTTAAGTAGGTAAAATCACAAATTTATAACATGCTTTCCTTAAAAGCAAAATGTAAACTATTACAATGTAGAACTAAAATCAAACAGTAATTTGTTACAGATATAATGATCAAATATGAAGAGCTTTCGGGCTAAATCAATTGAAATGTACAATAAGTGTAAACCACAAGACAATAAGTAAATAAACGAACATTTTCGTAGTACTCGATCAGCAAAAGACCACCAGCAGAAGGGATAGCAGCACTAGTGGATCAACAGAGGGAGCAGACGATTTGTGGAACCGTGACTGAGGCTGAAAACCTTGGTCTAGTCACGACAGTGTATTCAAGACTTAATTAGGCATCATTCTGAAGATCGTTATCTGTTCTAATTTTCAAATCACATCTCTTAGATATTCTCTCAAATAGCAGGTTGCTCAAAAATTAATTAAAAGACCTCCAGTTGATCAGACATCTCCAAAAGTCATCAAATATTTGTTCAAGACTTCAGTTTGATCAGATATTATTCGGAAGATCTTCAACTACACAACAATCAGAGACGTCTCGTGACTAAAAGTTCTACCTGTTCTATAAGTTGAGATATTAACATTTGAAATGGGCATATTTTTTAGTAGAAAAACGTCAATGACTCTTGATCGGCGAAAGATATCGAAAAGCTCTGTACAGCAAAAAAAAATTGTCCCTTCAAAATATCTAAAAATTATTTGAAGACACCTTTGCTGAGAAATTTGAAATAAACTGTTTTTTAGAGACACCCTAACTCAATTCAAGAAAATAGCTCTTAATCGGTCAATTAAAAGATACATAAGATAATAGTTCTTTTGACTTGTGATTCTTGTGATTTCTATATGGGGTTACACTTTGTGAAAACAGAAAATGGAGTATGTAACAAAATTATGAAAGATTTTGAACGTTAATAACTCAGCTACCCCTGGACCAATTTCCATAATTTTATTACCATTCGATCAGAAATATTTCTACGCATCTGTTACATTATCGTTTTTCAAAATGTCACTATTGAAAATTGCACGAATGGGAAACTGTTCCTTTGATAATTAAAATTATAACCGATTGCCTGCGAACAGCGATTTTCCTAACACAGATTTCAAAGTTGAATTTCATCCGGTCTCACCAAACGGTGTTCATTCAATCACCTCTTGGTGAGTGGTGGTGTTCTCCAGTACACAACGAAAGGCTCCCGCAAGCAGCTAGCTATCAAGGCTGCCCTCAACCACTTGATCGAATTCAGTTCCAATCACCGTGTGTGGTGGTGTCCGGTTCTTGGCATCAGCAGCACAGCAGCAGCAGTGCTTTAGGCGCGTGGCGTTGAACATTGTTCTCCAGTACACAACGAAAGCTGCCTGCAAGCAGTAAGCTGCAGCCCACATGAGCATCCATAGAAGGAGGAAGAATCCGCAGCGCTATTGATCGAAATCAGTAGCTCTTCGTGAGTCGCTGGGGATCATCTATGTCAAGTGCGTCATACTTAAGAGTATAAACAGATAGAACCCCGCTCAAATTCCTATTCCTACACAAAATACAAGCTCGTGCTGCAGTTAACAAATAAGATTTATTATATAAGACCACGTAGTCCTACGTCACCATTGCGTAAAACCCCATAGGGCTGTCCCTTGTAGTTTTCTACAAAGATGCTTGCAATTAGCTCAGCTATAACATTGCTGAAGTATATCTTAATTTCTTCAAATAAAAAAGTTATATTTTTGATTTCAATGATAATAAAAACTACCCTAGAATTCATTATTCATAAAAATGAGGTCCGAACTATAAGGCACAACTTTGTAGAAGAGACTTTAAGTCTAAAGTTTAAATTCCAGGCTCAAAATATATCCTTCCACCTAAATCTGCATTCTGGACCACTGTGCAATGCTAATCTTAAAGCGGAAACAGAAGAACCGTTCGGTTTGTTCAGTGCTAGGCAGGGATGGATCGCAATTTGAGGATTTTTTCTTTAGTTCTTAATATAGAATGCTTACGTTAAATCCAATTGAATTTTTAATTAACCGATCTAAAAATAGATACTTTTGTACTATTAATCTCCCTATCAAAATTCAAAATATCCGCACCGTAGAGCCACACTCTGTGTTTTCACTGAAGGTACACTTGAGAGCGCAGAGTGTGGCTACGGTGTGGATATTTTGAATTTTGATAGGAAGATTAATGGCATTAAACATTAATGCACTGATAAGGCTATTTAAGGGTTGATCAATTAAACCCCATATCGAATTTTAAAATGTTCAAAACATCCAATATAATAAGTAATCATGTAGAACGATTGAATCCTCATAGATGATTTCAATGTCGATTTTAGTTGAAATTCATTACGATATTTTCATTAAAAAGTGGTAAATTTACCCCCAGATTACGGTACGCATAATTTCTTTATACTTGTTTTGCGTAGACTGCTTGTCGGTAAGCATCGAAGCTAGCTCGTTCCAATCATTATCATAAATGGTAGTAGGTATTATTGAATTTAATTACCAACGCAGCGATAATTGTCCACCACTGTCAACTGATGTCGCTCGTCGTTGATGTCCTCTCCCGTTTGATTCACGAAAATCCAATGTTGCTGTGTATTATCGCACTGGCAATGTACCACAATCGACATATTCTTGATTCCGTACTTCTGATAGAGTGTCTTCTTTTGCAATGCGATTTGATTCGATCTGCATCGTTCCAAATGCCTCGTCGATGAACAGAACTTCATCTGCGTCCGCGTGTTGATGTTCATGATATGACCATGCTGGGTATAGGTCACCGGACAGCTAGGAGTATTCAAAGGACATCGGCAGATCTTTTCCACTGCACTTGGCATCCAATACCGATGATGGACTATGTTGCACACTTCATTCTCGCGGCACGTTCCCATCAAGGTGTCCTGGAAATTGTATGGACTTCTTAGCACTTAAAGCACTACACTCATTCACTGACATGCTTACATAATCCTCGTAGTGATATCTATAGGTTTGGACTGCCAATGCCGAGGCAAAGATCGATAACAGTAGAAATAGGATTTTTGCATCTCCGAGCGGCATTCTACCGAATAACAAGATCGGCACTTTCAAACGAGCTAAACGCTACATCAAGACTGAGCTGATGCCAAACGTTGCAAATCGCGTGAATATTCCGGCTTGGCTGTTAGACTGTTGGAGATGTGTGCGTCTTGTGTGCTTGTAGTCGAAATCCTCCAATCTGAAATCTTCCAAACAGATGTAAACACAAACTGCTGCAAATCGATGAACCGCCGGTAGACGCACGAGATTTCTTACCCATGGTCGGGAAATAGCACACGTTCCCGTCGAAGCACATGCAATGTGAGTGCCAGAATGTGTGACATGGGAAATAAATTTCACACTGTTCTTTGGCCGGTTGGTTATCGCTCATCTCTGCCGACGTAGACCGCTTAGCACGTAGAGCGATGACTATAAAAAGATGACGTTGGAAATCTAACTTCTCGTGAAATATTTTCTTCGAACAGGTGGCCACTCTAGTTGTGTTCGTTGATTAGTTTTGGCTGACTTGAGTAGACATTATAGGTATATAGCAATATTTTGACCGGCACTGTGTTGGGTCATAAAGTATCCACTCGGCATTTAAGTGTGTAGCAACAGGGAATCCCATCTGCCGGAAAATTCATAATCTGTCTTTTCCGATCGATCAGTGCTCAACTCAAGAAAAGGGGAAAGAGATGGAGCAGAGGACGCGCAAAATTCAAACTGCGCGTCGCGACGGCGGGCGCTCCGAACTAGGCCAGTGATGCGGAGAAGTCAGTGTCAGACAGTTGGGAGACATAAATAAACACTCTAGGACAGGAGCAATATTGATTGAAAGCGATTGCTAGTGATTAACGAAATAATCTTGCGTCTTTCGATTCGAACTAGAGCGGTCGTAAAACGGTTTGCAATTTTATATTTTCGGTTTTAATAAAAGTGATTAGTTGTGGTGATGTCATCCATGTTTTCTGGATATGTAGGTACCTAGTACTACATATGTACACGCTTCGATTATTTTACAGGAGTCAGTATTTTTAACTGGGGTTTTAAATTGCTGAAAAAGTTGGTAAACAATCAAATGACCGTTATCCGACAAATTTTATTTTCTGTTGTTAGTCATAATTTTTGAATTTTCCACAGATTTTAAAACTTTTACCGAACAGTTCCGCTATTCAAAAGCCCAGTAAAACCTTACTGACAGGTTTAGTGTGTACATAACTATAATATTGCTCTACATTCCCCATAATTCTCATTCGAGTACTGACATTCGGAATACTGCATAGAGTTCCTTTAACCATTTACTTTTGTACTTCCTCTACTTCCTCTCAACTAGGCACTAAAAGCAATGAAGATTAACCTCCGCAAGGAGCTGCTCGAGCGTTTGGAAGATCAACTCACATTCGAGCAAAGGAAACAATCCCAACAGTGGGTAACCGCCGAGTGCCAGGAGAAGTTCAAGCTGTTCGTGTCCCGGGGTGGAAATTGGTGATGCCCTGGGCCAGGTAAGTACAGGAAAATCCAATACACTCTGCGAGGGTTATGAGCAATTTAGCGTATAAGTACACAGATGCTTTTATTCTCCATAACGGATTGATCGGCTTAAAACCACGTTTTAGTTTATGCCAGATCAATCTTTTTGTTTTCAAACTTGAATTTGGCACGAATTGTTTTCATTGCTACTCTAATTTAACAGAATTAAAGTTATCGGTTATTGATAGGAAAAATTGAACTCTGTTGCCCATACGCATAGAGCTACTCGTAATAAGAGATGTTGCACTTTATCTTCGTTTTACTAAGATCAACTTCTATTTACTATCCATTACAAATAATCATGATGAATTCAATTGTTTAAAATAGAATTTATTTTTACAAACGCGAAAACTTTAATGCATTTGGCTCAAAATACCGCCAATTCAATGAAAAAATTACATTTAAGCCGATAAGAAAAAGCAAACAGAGCATATATCATTGAATGTCATACAAGTAGTAGTGGCTGATTGGATTTATGAAACATTTTCAACACTTTTAGTTTATTATTTTTTTCAATAAATAGATACAGCAGAAGAAAATAGAGTTATACCTTCTTTCCATTAATAAAACTATTCAGTCTATATTATTTTTTATAGGAATAATGAGAACTCCTTTCATATGCCTGTGTAGACCGTTGGCAGGATTTTACCGTGAGTAGTAGATATAATAAAACTATAGCATTTTTTCTTAATCTTCATGGTCAAACTGTAAAACGGTGTATATTGAACGTTTAAACAATGTAAGGTTAACAATGAACTTTTTTTCCCTAATATAGTGTTCGACCGAAGTACCCACGTAGCTACAGTACCGGAAAAAAAGTATTTAACATTGTTATTAGTTATTTATTTTTTTCAGGAAATGTTCAATGAGCTATAACTTTTCAGAATTGAATATGCATCAACATTCCTCAAATTTTGCCGGCTGGTTATCAGCTATTCAAGATTTATCGGTATGTTTTTATGTGAGCTATTTCCTTTGATTTGCCTGTATCGCTAAGAGGAAAAATTTACATCCTGTGAACCATGTGATGAAAAGCGGCCATTTTGCGTTGATGGGAATGGTTTGAAGAGCTTGGTATTACTCTCTTTATATTTGTTGATTTCCTATAAATTTCGAAATTGAACGAAGGCGTTTCCCTGATTATGAGAAGATCTAAGAAGGGGAGTTTGTCGTCTTTCTCTTCTTCGTGAGTAAATTTGATGTCCTTGTGAACGTGGCTTATGGCCTCCAAATTTTTTGATAAATCTTCCCTTTTGACAATGCTAAAATGTCATCTTCGTACCTATACAAACACTTGGGCAACAAATTCCTATCCTCCACAAATATTTTCTAGGTTAGCCATGAACAATTCACATAAAAATGGGGAAAGCAGATTGCCCATTGGAGCATCTTTAGTTTGTTTATAAAAATTTCATCTGAAAATGAAATAATTTTCCTCCATACAAAGACGAGTAAGCTTGAGATATAACCGAACTTTGTTTTTCCGTTGCTTCAGGATCCAGCCCTCTAAAAGGCAGATGGCAACTCCTTTTTTTAACTCTTTATTTGTTCCAAATTCAAAATAAATTACATTTCATTTTAACCTAGGTGCTCCACTTACTACAGTAACTTACCAGCCTCAATTGTTATGTTATATATCTATGTGTTTTTACATTGTTCCTGCCTTAGCAATTCAGTATTTTAAACAGGTTTTTTTTTAACCTGCATGTCAGTATAACAATTTACATCTTAAAACTAAAAAGAAAAATTTGTTTTGGGTCTTGTGTGTTCTTTGTTCTAAATCTTAATGGTCAGTTTACTTGTCGTATGTAGGTATTTAGGAAATAAAAAAAAACTAAACACTAAAACTATATCTTAACTAAGCATAAAGGGAATTAATCGTTGCAATTGAAGATTGCAACGATTTTTGCCTGAAATTATTAATTATTTTGTTGGACATTTGTTATACATTCGCGGACAAGAGCTCGTTCTGCTCAGACGTATACTAGAGTTGATCGTGAAGTATAGAGTGTTTTAAAACAATAGTCCTCTGTGGCTATTGTTTTCACTTTTTTTTTTGTCTTTTGTATAAAGGGTGATACGGTCAAAATTTGGTCAAGGGAAAACGCGTGTAAATCGGTGAAATCGTTTATTTAAAAAATCAAATTAAATTTCTTTTTCAAGTTCAATTAGTATAAAATTCAGGAAAAATATTCAGTTAGGCTTCCGCTTTTCCAAATCCGAATTGCCGGGCCTTACGCTTGACCCCTGCCATCAGATTTTGTACAGCCACCTTGTCCACCTTCTTCGCCGCAGAAAGCCAGTTTGCCTTGAACTGCTGCTCGCCCTTAGCAGTTTTTTTGGTCTTCTTTAGGTTCCGCTTGACAATAGCCCAGTATTTCTCAATTGGGCGGAGCTCTGGCGTGTTGGGAGGGTTCTTGTCCTTGGGAACCACCTGCACGTTGTTGGCGGCGTACCACTCCATGGCCTTTTTACCGTAATGGCAAGATGTCAAATCCGGCCAAAACAGTACGGAACAACCGTGTTTCTTCAGGAAAGGCAGCAGACGTTTATTCAAACACTCTTTCACGTAAATTTCTTGGTTGACAGTCCCGGAAGCTATGAAAATGCTGCTTTTCAAGCCACGGGTACAGATGGCTTGCCAAACCAGATATTTCTTTGCGAACTTTGACAGTTTCATGTGCTTGAAAACATCTGCTACCTTTCCCCTTCCTTTTGCCGTATAAAACTCCTGTCCCGGAAGCTGCTTGTAGTCGGCTTTGACGTAGGTTTCGTCGTCCATTACCACGCAGTCAAACTTCGTCAGCATCGTCGTGTACAGCCTCCGGGATCGCGCTTTGGCCATCGTATTTTGTTTATCATCGAGATTTGGAGTCACTACCTTCTTGTAAGTCGATAGTCCGGCTCGTTTTTTGGCTCGATGCACGGTTGTAGACGATACACCCAGCTTATTTGCGGCATCTCGGAGAGAGAGGTTAGGGTTTCGCTTGAAACTACCGGCAACTCTCTTTGTCGTCTCAGCGGCTTCCGGTTTTCGATTTCCCCCCGATCCAGACTTCCTGGCTGTCGACAAACGTTCCCCAAACACTTTAATTACATTTGTAACGGTTGATTTGGCAACTTTTAGCGATTTTGCCAACTTTGCGTGCGAGTAGCTCGGATTTTCGCGATGCGCGAGCAAAATTTTGATACGCTGCTCTTCTTGCTTGGACGGCATTTTGACAACTGAAGAGTGAATTCCAAAATCAAAATAGGAGCAACATTCTACACACACACACCTTCAAAATGAGGGGTGTTCAGGTTTTTTAAGGTTCTACAAAGGGTAAGTAATTTTGTGTTCTTCTTCTTTTTTAAATATCATAAAATCATCATCATTAGTTTACACATACATTCATATATTATGAATACGAAAATTTAAAACATGTATTTCATGGGTAAAACACGAAAATTTCCTGGGGAAAACACATTCACTGTATTTACTTACTTGTGTTCTTCGAAGTATAGCACAATTAAACGCAATCGAATACACGAAACTCAAAACAACTGCTTCACAAAACTCTTGGTGAACAAAATTCATCACAAAGAAAACCATTTCTACTTTACTGCTTTGCTAGCAATCGTGAAAGTATCATTGAAACAGCGGTGCCAGATGTATTGCCTCTAGCAATGAATTTAAGTTTATTAAAACAATTAATTGCGAAGTCTGCCTTATTAACATAGTATTTAATGGTGGATAAATATCAAAAACTGATTAAATAAAACATAAATGACCATTTTAAACATTTTACCGGTCCAATTAAAAAAGTCACAGAAGATTGAATTCAACACTAACAGGGTTGATGGCAGCAGTGCACGTAGCCTGTTATACATTTTCCCGCTCCGGGGTGTAAACAAACTTGCATACAGCGCAGTCTGGCAGTGCTTATGTTTTGTCTGCTACATTCTTATCCACTAGATAGTGTGACATCACATTTGCTGTTGTATTGAAATGAAGGAAGAAAAGAGATGGTTAAGTTTTCCTCACCATACCAGTTGATATAATGAAAAATGGGCAGTTTTGGCGTGGGGACATGCACTTCCAATGAATTTTACCAATACATTTAGAAAATGATGATCGAAGAATATTTCAAAAAGAAGAAGTGAACAAAATAATGACCCTTTGTAGAACCTTAAATGCAAAATTGAAAGAAATACGTCAAGTTGATATTGACCAAATTTTGACCGTATAACCCTTTAAGCGGAATCTTTCTGTATAGGAAGAGTAAAAATGGCAAACAGCGTTAGAAAGAACACAGTAAAGTTGATTTTTGGACCGGACAGCAAAATACCATCGTACCTGGATGTACTCAAGTTTTCTATGGACGTTTTGAAACTTTCGGCGGCTGACATTCACACAATCTACAAAGATGACAAAGGGCGGACAATTCTACATCAAACTAATCGACGATCACACGTTCTCTGCGTTCATTTCCGAAGCACATGAATCGTACAACTTCCAGTACGAAGATGGAGGAACAGCAAGGGTCCAAGTGGACCAAGCATCACGGATTTTCAGGTACGTTCGCATTTTCAACTTACCACCAGAAATCGATGATCGGGAGATCCAGTATGTACTGGGTCAATACGGAACAATCCGACAGCACGTGCGAGAGAGGTTCCCAGGTGAAATGAAAGTGAACATTTTCACTGGAATTCGAGGCGTCCATATGGAGGTTTCGAAGGAAATTCCTGCCAACCTCTACATCGGGCATTTTCGTGCTCGAGTTTTTTATGAAGGTTTGAAAGGTCGATGTTTTTTTCTGCAAAGCAGAAGGACATATGAAGTCGGATTGCCCCAAGCTGGTGGCGATACCTTCAGGAAGTTGAGGTAAACCGAACCACTCTGGAGGTGGCGGTTCACCGCAGTCGCCGAAGCCGTCAGGCAGCGGGATTAAACCCAATTCTGCCGGTGACACCGGGGTGAAGCCCAGTCTTGCCGGGGGCAGTGGTTCTCCCCTGGGCAGACCGAATAAACCAGTAATTGACAACAGTGCACCAGTTACTCCACAAATGACGGTTCTAAGGAAGAACACTGAGAGTAAACCTGATCCAAACGTGCAGAACGCCGGATCTCAAAAAGCAGCGACATCAACAGTCTCGACAACGGGAACGGTTCCGAAGGATAGTAGCGGTGCTACAACGAGTACACCAACAAGTACTTCTGGTGGTGATGCGTGTGAAACCACGACTGCAATGAGCTTGAGCTTGAGCTTGCTTGAGCTTGATTGACCGCCCACGGTTGCTACTCTGTTATTGCCAGATCAGCTGTAATTACACAGAGAACCAATAGACGATGCTTGGGACTAGCAATCATCCTCAATGTGTAAAAACTGGTGATCTTAAATTAGGCAATACCAGCGCCGGCCGCGCCCGAACACAGGTCAAGAAAGGAATGGGAAGGATTGTGTTGACATGACACTCGCTTTGATGGAAGCCGAGAACACCTCTGCACTTCCACGAGGAATCACTGGGATGTTGGATAAGAGGGTTGGGT